ATATATTCACATGTATATATACATATCATGCACAAATACAGGTACATACGCATACACATATGCATATACATATGCTTACTCAAATAATTATATGCATATACATGCACATGCACATGCACGTAGACATGCACCTGCATATAAGTATGTCAGCATGTATATATGTGTGTATGATGTACGCATGTATGTATGTATGTATGTAAGTCGTTCTTGCTGTTTTCTACACCTTTATTTCTTGGTTTATTGTGCACAACCCCACAACCTAAATTCTACAAAAAGCCCGGAGGAGACGCAAGCACTTCCCACAGCATTCAAAAGCCCAAGCTGCCTCGCAAGCAGAACGCGGGCTTTCATGTTGGCAAGCCTCGTGGATGCTTTCCGGACAGTCACTCCCCTCTTTCCAGGGTTCAGGGTTTTGGTGGGTTGCATAGCAATTCCGCAACGTTCCAACCTTTTCTACATGCGCCAAGGTTTCTAATCCTTAAGCGCTTGAAGCTCTAATATTGGCTAGGTAAGTTTTGGACGCTTACGGTCAAGGCTTGACGGTCTAGGATTCTGGGTGCCTCAATGAGCCGTCCAAGTATTCGCATACATGGTGGGCCGAGGGTTTGGGGGTTTGGGTGCATTTTCAAGAATCATAGAAGAGCAAGTAGCTCGTAAGACTTATAAGGATTAATTACGTAATTCTCGAGGTCGCCGCAGTTGGATACACGACTCACGTAACCTAGACGCTTACCCTACTTGCTGAACAACCCCCGCCGTTGTTGGATTCAAGGATTCCGGGGCTTGGGGTTTTGGACTCGGTTATCAAGATCAAGCATCCCATGATAGGCAAGGGGATTCTGCAAATCTTTCATCACTGGAGCAGACAACCCTGAAAAAAACACTTCGGTCTCAGGGTTTAGGGACACGACCCTGCATGCTAATCGCATCCAACCGCAGACCTCTCGCAGGCACGAGAGCTTTCCCGAAAAGAGGCAACCCCGATCTCCAGCTCACAACAACAGGATCCACAACATAAGGTTTAGGGCTATAGGGTTTTAGGGTTTACGGGTTTAGGGTTTAGGGCTTCAGGGGTTTAGGGTTTAGGGCTTTAGGGTTTACGGGATCATGGGGGACGTTTTGGTACGCTACCTAGAGTAACAAAGGTACCTTAAGCAGGGTAACATGTACCAATTCATTATCCCTGTTTGTAGAGTGTGCACTGGATAATGCAGGGGCCTAACTGATTACCTATACTATTTTGGGGGTTCCTTCCTAGTTAAAACTATAGTATAATGGGCCCCCGACGCCCTATTCTAATAAATAAGGCCTCATATTACATTGGTTACTCTAGCCAACCTGTCACCCCCAAACCCAAAACCCTATACTCCCCAAACCCCAAACCCTACTCTAGCCAACCTTCAACCCTACTTGGAGGTTCATGGGTAGATATAAGTCGGGTTATAAGTCCCCTAATATGGCTTATAACTAGAGTTGCCTTACTTATAACCCCATTTATTACTACCCATGAACCTAAACCCTAAACCCTAAACCCTCCAAGTAAAGCAACACCGGCGCCTCTTCACGTCCTCCATGGCCTGCCTCCGGTTCTGCTGCTGCGCCCGGGCCTCCTGGAGCTTTCTGTGGGACCTTAAGAGTTAGGCTAGAGATGAAACAGGGTTTAGGGTTTAGGGTTGGAGGTTCATGGGTAGTTATAAGTGGGGTTGTAAGTAAGGTAACCATAGTTATAACCCTATTAGGGGACTTATAACCCGACTTATAACTACCCATGAACCTCCAAGTAGGCTAGAGATGAAACAGGGTTTTGGGGGCATCTTATAGTATAATGATAGTTAGGATAGGTAGGGTTGAGCAGGGCTTTGGGGGCATAGTATTGTAGTATAATCATAAATAATGAAGAAGCTTAAGGACGTTTTACTTCTTCAGGCTTCTGTACTTAAGGCGTTAAACATACCCTGGCTATATCGTAAATTACCCACCCGAAACCCTAACCCCAAGAGATCGAGAGAGCTTCCCAAACAAAATCCCAAATCCACACGATCAAGAGAGCTTAAACCCTACGGCCCTGCGGCCTAAACCCATAAGATCAGGCGAGCTCGAGATTTTGTTGACCGGCCTGCTTCTCCCGACGCTCTTTGTCACGCTCCGCTTTGGAGGTGTGGCTGTGCATGGCACCTGCGGCTGTCACGGCTGTCCTACTATACGAAGTATTTCACCCACCCGCACAGCGATTATCTAAACAAGTGCAGGCTTTAACTTTGAAGTCAACTGTTGTTGCTTCCTGCACTCGCAACTGCAGATTAGGCTAGCAACTGCAGATTAAGCTGGAAAAACAGCTTCAATGCGGCAGAGTTTATGGGTGTTTTTCCTCCTACTTAGCAAGGACGAGCCCGCATTGCAGGGTATGTTCGGGACTGCTGCAGATGCACAGCAGAAATAAACGACTCACCAGCCATTTCGGCCACTACTGACTCATCAACCTCCAATTATTAACGTCAGACAGCTTCACCACAATAACTGACTCAGTTCTCAAAGCTCCCCAAAGCCACAAAGCATTCAAGACGCAGGGAAAACAGCAACCACCAATGTCGCCCGAGCTGTCAGTAGCGAAAGACTCGCAAACGCCGTCTGCGACTGGTTTCCAAGAAAGGCATTCACAATCCTCGCTGCTTCCACCAAGGTGCGAGTCAGAGTTTATGGCTGTAGAGCTTAGGCTTTCGCATTCATGGTTTTACAGGCGGTACGGTTTACGTAGAAAGGGTTACCGAACCCTGGACCCCTTTTGAAACACGCCGCCACTCTCTTCTTCCGAACAGATCCCGAAAGGTTCGCAAGAGCAGCCCACAAAGCCCCCCAAAAGCCCTGAACCAGCAACCTCTCAACGCCAAAGCCCTAACTAAACCCTGGACCTTATCCAGATCCAAACCAACTCTACACCCTAAACCCTCAAAGCCTAACCCTAAACCCTATAAACCCTAAACCCTAAACCCTAAGCCGTAAGCCCTAAACCCGAAGCCCTAAGCCCTAAACCCGAAACCCTGAACCCTAAACCCTCAAAGCCTAAAGACGAAATAAGAACCCCTGGCAGCAGAGGCCACGGCCCAAGGGCCCAGGCGCCCAGGACTGGCCTCGAGCTGGTATCAGATCTGAAGGTTTCCGCTTCGTGCTGGTTTAGGGTTTTTTCCCTCTCGAGGGGTTTAGGGTTTAGGGTTTAGGGCTTTTAAAGGTTCCCCTTTAACCCCAAATAAGCTACCTTGGTAAAGACATATATTATATCAAGAAATCATACTCACGAACCCTAAGAACGTAGGGTAATTGGTGCCCAGGTAGGGCTTAGAGGGGCTTTGCTAAGCCCCTAGCAAACCCGAGGCCCCAAACGCTGAGGCCGAGTGAAGTAGTATTTGCATCAGGGCTTTGCAGTGTGTACAGGGCTCCTTGAGAGCGTTGGCGGGAATGTATTCTGCGCGTGACGATGGGAATACTAGCGCTGAACACCCTAATTGCTGCAAGCATATCAAAGCACTACAACACATCACAAACAATGCCATAACTCCCTTAAAGCCTGAACCCCAAGATGCCAAGCCCGGAAACCCCGCATGCCTACCCGAAAACTCCCTACATCCAAAGCCGCCTCAACCCTGCGCCCAAAACCCCTAAACCCTTTTGCAGCGGACTTACCCCTAATCTCTCAACCCCGAACCCTAATCCCTCTCTTCCCTAAACGCAAAGGTTCCCGGTTCCCCTAATAAAGTACCCTAAATAATAGGATCCTTATTATAAGGATCCCAAAATAAGGTACCCTTGAAGGTGGACCTCTGGTTTTCTTTGGACTTCAAACCCTTTCTTACACAGGCTTGATTGGAGCTCGCCCGGCCAATGTCCCTCGCAGCACATCGCACTCGTGAAACCCTAAACCCTAAACCCTACCCTAAACCCTAAACCCTAAACCCTAAACCCTAAACCCTAAACCCTGAACCAATACCTATAAACCCTAAACCCTGAGGTCACGGCCTCCCTCTGCAGCGTCGTGCGGGTAGCCCGAGTCGTCGGAAGGCTTTGGAGGATCGGACCTGGGCTGCTCCCTGGGGGCTTTCTTTGAAGCTTCCATGATGGTTCAGGGTGTACCAAAAAATTAGGTCCTTATAAGGGTTGGGTTTCTTTGAAGCTTCCATGATGGTTCAGGGTTTTGTCAAAAAAAATAGGTGCTTATAAGGGTTCGCTAGAGTTCTTGTAAGAGTTTGTTAAGACAAGATTTGGGAGTTTCGGGAGTAGGGGTGCATGTTGTTGGGGTTGATAAGGCTTCTTTCACCGTTGTTTTTCCTTTTGGTGGTTTACACTAGGGTTTTAGTCTCGGGGTTCTGGGCTTATTTTTGCAGTTGGTGGGCCTTGAGTGATTCGCCAGAGATCTCTCATTCGAGTTGATCTGAGAGTCAGAACATGCTTGAATGTTCTTTCGCGGTCCATTTTTGAAACACTTTGTCGCATCAGGACTTGTGAAACCGCCTGTAGGTTTCCCCTAAGCCTTTTTTTTGTGAGGAGGGTCTGCAGTGCAGTGCACACAACACCTCAATTCTAAAGGGGTTCGCTGTCGAAGCAGAGGGCTTCTAGGGAGTTGGCCTGTTTGGCGATGCAGGTCGCAGAATGAGCGGTGAAGATCTACGGTGTAGGGTTTGGGGAAAGATGAGAAATGTGGTGTTCTGCTGGGTTCCAACGCCCCCTGCTCTTTAATCCCAAACTCCAATGCCTCAATCCTCAACCCTACAGTTTGAAAAAATGACACCACCAAACTCCTCAACAAAACATATCCAGCATTACTACGTGCCTGGATGGTCATGTGATTCAATGAAATTCCTTGCTTGACAAAAACACGGTAATCATGCCAAAGGCCAGGTTGCTTTGCCTTTCCCTTCGGCGTTGCTTTCGCCTTCGCTTTCGCTTCCGGGGCGCCTCGAGGGGGCACGGCAGTTCTGAGTCGTCTGAGCCTAAGCCAAATGCTGCTTGGTAGCTATGGGGCTTGAGAAGGGTTCTATGGTGGTTTACAAAAGTTGTGGCGGCTTACAGGCTTTCAGGGTTCAGGGCTAGCCGAACGCACGGCTTAATGCCTTTATTGGGATTATATCCCGAAGCCGTCTCAATCCACATAAAGCGCCGAGCTTCCTGCCAACAGACTCGAATATAGGAATATAGGACCCACAACGAAACCTAGTACTACAACTCTGTGGAAACGCTTTGTGTGTCTCAGCTAAGCGGGGCGCAGAGGTGGACACGAAAAACGCGAAAACGCGAAAAACACGAAAAACGCGAAACCACGAAACACGCGGAAAACGCGAAAAAGACGAAAAACGCGAAAGGCGTAATAGTAATAGTAATAGTAATAATATTAGTAATAGCAATAGTAATAATAGTCTCAAGAGTAGTAGGAAGTAGTAATAGTAATAGGAATAGTAATAATATTAGTAATAGCAACAGTAATAGTAATCCCAAGAGTAATAGGAAGTAGTAATAGTAAAAGCGTTGTTTGTGTTTTCGTGTTTTTCGCGTTTTTAACGTTTTTTTGCGTTTTTTTTTGTTTTTTTTGTTTTTCGTGCTTTTCGACTTTTTGCACGCTGAGCGCCGACTCCGCGTGTACAAAGCGTAATGGTAATAGTCATAGTCATAGTAATAGGTTTAGCAAGTAGTAACTAGTACTGGTAGTAGTGATAGTAGTAGTAGTAGTAGTAGTAGTAGTAGTAGTAGTCGTAGTAGTTGTAGCAGTCCCAGCAGCAGTAGTAGTAGTAGTAGTAGTAGTAGTTTTTGTCACCCACTTGGCAGTAGTAGTAGTAGTAATAGTAACAGTAACAGTAACAGTAACAGTAACAGTAACAGTAACAGTAACAGTAACAGTAACAGTAACAGTAACAGTAACAGTAATAGTAATAGTAATAGTAATAGTATTAGTAATAGTAATAGTAATAGTAATAGTAATAGTAATAGTAATAGTAATAGTAATAGTAATAGTAATAGTAATAATAATAGTAATAATACTAGTAATAATACTAGTAATAGTAATAGTAATTAGTAATAGTAATGGTAATGGTAGTAAGAGTAAGAGTAATGGTAATAGGAAGAGTAAGAGTAGGAGTAAGACTCAGAGTAAGAGTAAGAGTAAAAGTACGAGTAAGACTAAGACTAAGACTAAGGGTAATCAAGCGTAATCGTAAACATAGTTGTAGTTGTAATAGTAACGGCAATAGTACTAGTAACAGTAACAGTAATGGTAATTTGTGCCAAAAACGTCAACGAAACGTGCAAACGCGAAAAACGCGAAAACGCGAAACACGCGCAAAACACGAAACACGCGAAAAACACGAAAAACGCTAAAAACACGAAAAAAACGTGAAAAACGCGAAAAATATGAAAAGCGTAATAGTAATAGTAATCGTAATAATATCAGTAGTAGCAATAGTAATAGGAAGAACAATAATATTAGTATTAGCAATAGTAACAGTAATCTCAATCAAGAGTAGTAGGAAGTAGTAATAGTAAAAGAGTTGTTCGTGTTTTTAGTGTTTTTCGCGTTGTTCATGTTTTTTGTGCTTTTCATGTTTTTTTTTTGTTTTTGCGTTTTTCGTGTTTTTCGACTTTTCGTGTTTTTTGACTTTTGGCACGCTGAACGCTGACTCCGCTTGTACACGACGCGCGCTTAGCTACTACAGCATATGGACATTTATCTTACATCTCCGAATCCCAAAGTCTGACTTAACCAGAAATGCTAAGGCTTCTCGGGTTGTAGCTAGCTTGCACCCATGCTCAGTCGGATGCTACCTGAGCATGATAACGGAAGCACGGCCGCTGCTTGATTCATGGTATGACGGCTCTTGGCTTTCCTTTTACGAGAGCAGGCCCTGCCCCTCCAGGCCATGGCAGTTCGTTCCTCAACTGGCTCATGAACCTGAGCTCTGACACCCCGAAGCCTGTGAACCTAAACCCTTTTTTGCATCAGAACTTGTGCAATCGCCTGAATGTCCGAGCCCACAGAAGTTCAGCTCTCACGACCGACTGCGCTTCCATACCGTGCTCAGGAAAACTCGTGAACCTAAACCCTAAACCCTGAACCACAAGCTAAGCACATCCCCATAAGCTAAGCACATCCTAAACCCAAAGCCCTCAAGCAGAAAAACTCCGGAGGCCTCCAGAAATTGCTTCCAGCCAGGTTTCTCGGTAGCCTGAGGTTGCAGGCCCCGGTTCACAGGAAAGGCAGGTTCTGAAAGTTTTTGACAGTACTTGGAGGTTCATGGGTAGTTATAAAATACGGGTTATAACTATAGTTACCTTACTTAAAACCTCACTTATAACTACCCATGAACCTCCAAAAAAAGACAGTTTTGAATCCAAGAACTCACGATTCGGTATTCACCCACTCAAGCAAACGACGAATCTCGAGGAAGCAACCATGCTCCTTGAACCTTAGGTTAGGGATAGCGTGATGTAGGGGCCTTTATAATTAGAATAGGGTTTTGCGGGCTTCTTATTATAAGTATAGTATAGTATACCCCCAAACCCTATTCTAATTATTGAGGCCCCTCTATTAGAGCCGAGTTCCCATTCGAGGCGGATCCGTAAACGATGCCTTCAGACCACGCCGCCGAACCCCGAAAGGCGGGAAACTGCTGAAACCCCAACCGCACACAAACACTGACACCGTTTAAACCTGAACCTCCGACTCCTTTTTTGCAACCGGGCTTGGGGACTAGCCAGTTACTTGCTCGCGCGCCTTCGTGTTCACCCGGCTCTGTGTAGACCCCTAATGCTTTTTATTGGCATCAGGACTTGTGCAATCGTCCGAACATTGACTTCCAGAATGCGAACAAAAGCCCTTAATCCCCAAACCCAAAGCTCCAACTTTCTCAACCAGAACAGAAACAAGACCCTAAACCCTTAAAGCCTAAACCCCCCAACCCTTAAGGCCCTAAACCCTCAACACAGGGGACTAGATAATTACCAACATTATTTTGGTGGTTCCTTATTGTACATATAGCATAGTGGGCCCCAAAACCCTATTCTAAGTAGTAGGGCCCCTAGACTAACCCTGCCTCCGAAGTCCCTGGGGAAATCCATATAGGTCCAGTAGGGTTTAGGGTTTAGGGTTTAGGGTTTAGGCCCTACAGATCCCTTGTTAAGCTCGCACGCAAATTGACATCGAGCCCTCTGGAAGGACCGTAATTATATAACCCCCCAAACCCAAAGCCCCAAAATCCTTAAGCCCTAAACCCCCCAAAACTCTAAACTTATAAAGGCGCTTAGCCGAACCCTAAGCCCTAGATTCCCGCCAAACCCAAAGCCCCCAGCTTCTTGCAGTCCCCGGACCGTCTGGGAGCTTCCTCTCGAGGGGCAGGCTGGCGCAAAGCTTTAGCAAGGCGACCATGGCTGCCTTCCGAGGATCCATATGGGAGTTTCCGAAAATAAGGGTACCTTATTTTGAGGTCCTTATAATAAGGATCCTATTATTTAGGGTACTATCTTAGGGTCCCCTATTTTCGGAAACCCCCATATCTTTCCGCTTTGGGATTTAGGGGTTTAGGGGTTCAGGGTTCTTCTGGTTTAGGGGTTTAGAGTTTAGGGGTTTAGGAAGTTTAGGGTTTACGGCTTTCCGGGGTCATGGAATCAGGGCTTGGGGTTTCGAGCTCTTTGCCCCCTACTAGGAACTTCGTTTAGGTTCTTTTGCCAAGAAGATAAGACTTTTTTTGCCTCTTACTTCGCAAGGACGAGCGCGCATTGCATGGTGATTAGAGTCTATGTTGATCCCTCCTCCTATTTCAGAGAGGTGGGCACAGCATGACTCTGGCTTCAGTTCCGGATCAAGACCTTAGAGCATGGGGTTTTGATGGCTTCGAACAGGGTTCTCGTGAAGGGTCCTCTAAGAAGGCTTCCTCGAAAGATTTTTCCCTCCTACATGGCAAGGACGAGCCCGCATTGCAGGGTGGTTCAGAGATTCAGGGTTTACCCTCAACCCCACAACCCCAAGGCCTCAACGGGGTTTCAGGGTTTAGGTTGGCGGAACCGACTATGGCAAAACGGTCGTTGAGGGCTCAGGCCATGGTCAGGGTCCTAAGACTCTAAAAGGCCCCT